CCTGCCTCGACCCCCCCCAACCTGACAGGTCCAGGAGATGAAATGGGATGGGGGGACAGGTCCTGGCTGCGCTCCCCCCGCGGGGCTGCGGGTCCCACGTGTCCTTGAACATCCCTTGCTCGGCTTTGGGGGTCAGAGGGGGTTTGCCCTTCACCAGAGCGATGCAGAGACGTGGAGGTAGGAGGCAGAGGTGGTGTTTTTGTGCTTGTGGAGTTTTGAGCAGAGGGAGAAGCGCAGCCGGGTATTTCTGGGGGCTTGTTTTTCATTCCTGGGGATGGAAGGAGAGGGAGATGCTCCCCTCAAATCCATAGCCGGCTGCGCTGTCCCTGTCTCACCGGGATGCTCTGTGTCCTTTAGGCAGCTCCAAACGCCCCAGTCTTCGCCCGGCGGTGGTGTGGGGCCAGGGATGCCGTGGAGAGCCAGTCCCACGTCTGGGGAGCCCTTGGGCTCGGATGCCTGTCCCAGGCTGAAGCAGACAGGGCTGTGGCTTGGGGCTCTGCTCCTCCTCCAGCCCATCCCCGGGGACCTCTCTTTCTGCTCCCAGGGCCCGCTGTTTTTCCCCAGGGCCACCCATCTTTGCAGAGCACCCAGGGCTTCTCTCCCCAGCTGGTGCGGAAGCTCGGGGCAGAGAGCCCAGCAGAGGAATTCCTCTGGCGAGGAAGCAGCCCCAAAGTCGGTGCTGGATGGGGCATTCAGTGCTGGGATATCCTGCCTGCTGCCTGTCCCGGCATGGGGCTGCTGCCCATCCCAGCCTCCCGGTTGCTCCAGGCTCCCCGGCTTTGCCATGTGCCCATCCCATCATCCCGGCAGCTTGTCCATATGGGAGCTGGGGACACTCATCCCGGCAGCTCGGGGGATGTTGGGGTGGTGTAACCATCACCCCTGTGCCGTCAGGGACCCTGCTGCGAGACGGGGGGGCTGTGCTGGGCTCTGCCACCCCCCACTTTGTGGTCTCTGAGCTTTGACCTTGGCAGAGGTCAACATGGAGCTAGGGCGCAGGTGATGGCAAGGATCTCCGAGTTGAAGGAAAAGCAGCGCTGGGGGGTTTCCCATTGCTCCAGACACATCTTTTCCACTTAGAAAGTGGGTTTCCCTATTTCTTCCTTGGCTGGAGAGCACGTTGCTCCCGTCTCGCTCCGCAGGGCTTCTCTCCCGTGCGTAGGAAATAGCCCTCTGCTCCCGCGCGGCAGAGCCATCGCCTTATCTGATGGTGTACTGGGATGAGCGAGTCTCTCTGGTTTGCACTGAGTGGATTTTCTAGCTTTGCCCGGATTGTTTTGGCCCGTAGAAAGTTGCTCGAGGGTGATGGAAACAGCCACGTCCCTTTGATCTTTAATCTCGAGAGGCAGCGTGTGGAGATTACGTGTCCCGGCGTGTGGTCTGGAGCTGCATGTCGGGAGCTGTAGTCCCCGTGTCCTGTCCATCGCTGCCGCTAAGCCTGTTTCTTTGCTGCTCAGACCGCTGGTCTCAGGAGGATATGCTGACTCTGCTGGAGTGCATGAAGAATAACCTGCCCTCCAACGACGGGAGCAAGTTCAAAACCACCGAGTCCCACCTGGATTGGGAGAAAGTGGCTTTTAAGGACTTCTCGGGGGAGATGTGCAAGATGAAGTGGATGGAGATTTCTAACGAGGTAACCGTCAGCCGCATGGGGCTCGGAGGGGTCTCCGCGAGAGGGACCGAGCGTCCCGGTGACTTCCCAGGGCTGTTTGAATCTCTCGAGTTCAGCGCCCCGAGTCCTCGGCCCTTAGTGCCGACACCATCCCGCTGCCATTGGCGTTGCGAACCCTTCGGAGGCGCTGGGATGGGTCATTTGCGCAGTGGCATTACGAAACCCTGTGGGTTTATGCCGCGCCGAGCGGGGATCTGCCCTGTCCCCTGCGCGCAGCCTGTTGACATTTGTGGCCCTTCGTTACCCCGCAGGTGAGGAAGTTTCGGACCCTCACGGAGCTCATTATGGATGCCGAAGAGCATGTGAAGAATCCTTACAAGGGCAAAAAGCTCAAGGTATTGGGCAGGAATTGGGGTCGGTCCCTAAAGGGGGACCTCCCCCTTCTCTGGGGCAGGGGGTTGTCACCCATGTGGCACCCCAGACCCGTGTGGCTCTGCTGCCAGAGCCCCTGCAGGCACCTCTCTGCCCGTAATCTCCGCGGCCGGCTGCCCAGGTCTCCAGAGGCCGCGGGCTCTGGGCGCGGGCCAAGTCCAGGGTACATTTAATATGGCCGGCTGTATTGCTGGCAGCCTGCATCCAAGTTTAGCACCGGGGGGGCCGGGAAGCTGCCGTCCTATTCCTGGCCTGCCGGGTCGGGTAGGGTGCTGCTTTCGGCCGGGTGGCCCCCAGGGCAGCTGATGCTCTGCCACCAGCCGTCCCCAGGAGGTGGGTCCCGTCCCCTCCTCCTGCCTCAGTTTCCCCTCTTGCAGCACAACCGCTCTGTGCCAACAGCTCTGGATGGCTGGAGGCTGCTCCCGACATACCCAGCCCCGGGATATTGTAGTTCCTGGGGAAGGGAGCCCTTGCTCCCAGCGTTTTTCCCCCCTTTGCCTGCAAAGCCGGGGTGTTCCCATGTCAGGGAGCTGGATCACCAGTGGGGCTGGATGCAGGCAGGTCTCCCCCAGTACTGGGGGGAGCTGGGAGCCGGCGGGGTTTGAGTGTGCCCTCCGCGGTGCCACCGGCTCCGCACTCAGTGTCTGCCGCTCTGCTGTCTCCCCAGAAACACCCCGACTTCCCCAAGAAGCCCCTGACTCCCTATTTCCGCTTCTTCATGGAGAAGCGGGCCAAATATGCCAAGCTTCACCCCGAAATGAGCAACCTGGATCTCACCAAGATCCTGTCCAAGAAATACAAGGAGCTTCCCGAGAAGAAAAAGGTACGGGGGGGGAGTCAGCAAGCCCCTTCCCACTTGTGTGCCTCTGCGTGCTGGGCTCTGCCTGCCCAGCTCTCCCAGTAAAACCAGCAGAGCCCAGCCTCTACCTGGTGAGGGTTTAATCCGACTCTCGATGGGAGAAACGCGGGTGCTTGTTTAGTCCCGTCAGACCAGTAAGACTTCCCTTCCTTTTTCTGTCCTGGTTCCCAGGATCCGTGGGGTGGAGGCTGGCTGGGTCTGTCCGTTGGTCCGTCTCTTCCAGACAGACCTGGATGGTGACTTTGCTGTTGGGTGGATCTGTATTTAACGCAGGGGTTAAATCACATGCCCCGCCGTGGCCGCCCTGTCTGAGCGAGGGATGGAGGGGCAGGCTCCGCTCCGAGCCGTGGGAGATGCTGGGCGGAGAGCTGCCCATCTCACCTCCAGCTCTGGAGGTGGCCTTGGGCTTTGGCCAGAGCCTGGGCAGGCATTTTGGATGCCCCAACTCTCAGTCTGGGTGGATTTGCCACTGGCAGGAAACGTCCAGGGCACAAAGTCCTGCTGTGCCCTCTTGCCCAGGGCTGCTCGGGTGCAGGGAGAGTGGGGAGATCCTGCCTCTGAATCCCTGGGCAAGCTGGAAACCCTCAGCTAGGAGCTGCAGGACCAGTCTGATGGGCTGGAGAGCCCTCAAGTCCCTTTCGGGGTGGTGGGGTGCCCAGCCAGCAGGGTCGACAGGGATGTATCTGCCTGCCCGTTCCCTGGTGCTGACGTCCCTCTCCACCTCCCTGGTGGCTTTGTGTCCCCAGATGAAATACATCCAGGACTTCCAGCGAGAAAAGCAGGAGTTTGAGAGGAACCTGGCGAGGTTCAGGTGAGTGGGCAGCCCCCTGGCATTTCCCTGGGCCCCTCCAGGCAGACCCAGTTTCCCCTCCTGCGTGTAGCTCACAGAGGAAGCCCTGACGGGTGCTGCAGCTTGAAGGCAGAAGGGAAAGGGGGATGCTGAAAAAAAAAGAGCAAGGAAAAGGTGTCTGAGAGCAGCCCTCCAGCTGGGAGACTCGGCGAGGGGGAGAGAGCGGAGGACCAGCCACGCTCTGGGGGTTAGGGTCTGCAAGGGGAGGACAGGAGCCCTACCATCGGCACTGTTAAAAGCTGAAACGACCACCCCCTTCCCCCCCAGGCCTTCCCTTTGAACCTGGTCCCTGTGACTCAGGTGGATCCTGGCATTCCCAATCACCTGCCGCTGCTCCAGGGATGCAGCCCAGCCTGGCGCATTAAAGGCGATGCTTGTAGCTGATGCTCCCCCAGGAGGGACAGACTCGAATCTCTCCTAAAAGCCTCCTGCTCCTTTTGGGGACCCCCCCAGCATCTGAACCCGTGGAGACTCAGCCCTGCAGTGACGGTTACCCCTTAGCGGGGAGGTTTAGGGGGTGCTCTCCTTCCACGTGCAACCTCAGTAACGCTCTCCCTTCCCCGCCTCCCTGCCGGGTAAAGGGAAGATCACCCGGATCTCATCCAGAACGCCAAGAAATCCGACGTCCCTGAAAAACCCAAGACCCCCCAGCAGCTGTGGTACAACCACGAGAAGAAGATCTACTTGAAAGTGCGTCCAGATGTGAGTACGGTGGGTGGGAGTGCGTGTGAGCGTGAGTGTTGAGGGGTCCTGTACCCCGCTGCTGGGGGGAGAGGAGGGGGAAACAAGAGAAGCATTTTAGGGGGGGGACGGGATGGAAGACACCGCTAGAAGCTCCCAGCAGTCTGGACGGAGGTAAGGAGGGGCTCTGCACATCTGGAAGAGGCTCGGGGATGCAGACCCCACTTTTTGCCTGCAGTCGAAGGGGTGACCACAGCCTGAGTCAGAGCAGGAAAGATTTCCAGCACAGATACCCACCTCTGGCCATGCCCCACACTCGCACGCACCCCCTTCCCCAGCCACGAGCTCGGCTCCCAGCCCCCCCCTTCCCCGGCCACGAGCTCGGCTCGCAGCCACCCCGCGGCCCCAAGCCGGGTGCCGCCGGGACAAGATGGCGGGCAACACTATTTTTGCCTTTTTTTATTTTTTTTTTCCCTCTTCCTTTTTTGGATTTTACCCCTCTGCCCTCACCTCTGGCTTTGGGTTTTCAGGCCACCACGAAGGAGGTGAAAGAGTCGCTGGGCAAGCAGTGGTCTCAACTCTCGGATAAAAAGAGGCTGAAATGGATTCATAAGGCCCTGGAACAGCGGAAGGAGTATGAGGTAGGGAGCAGCCTCACCCGTTC